TCCCATAGTTCTTCACCAACCTATCGAAAACACCAACTTCACACTTCTGTATTATGTAAAATGGCACCATCGAAGACTACTTCCATCTATCAGTTTCCTTTACTTTGGCGCCTAACTCAAAGATGATGTATGGGTTTAAACCACTTTGCCTGAGGCTTGTTCCATCTCGAGACAGTAATACATATTATCGTGTATTTACAAATCTACCCGTTGTTGGCAGAATGCGCTGTCATTGTTACTAATCACACTCCTAGGAAGAGTATGTCATGTGATCCAGTGCTTGGGTGCGTAACCCATTTACACGGAAATCTGCCGGGGCATTTAGAGCGTTCTAGCTAACGATTTAATGAACTTTTATCATCGGAGATAGCAATGACCACGATGCATTTTTCCGGATACCGCTTACTGACAGTTCAGCTGTTCCCGTATTAAACCGACTGACTTTTGTGGAGTGCTCTTATGCCTTCTTCTAAATTAATATTATAACCAATAAAAACCAGCTCTTCTGAACCAGATACTTTTTCTTTCTTCCAAATGGATAGCTTCAAAACCGGACTATTGGGGAGAACTTCATTGGATTTAAGTGTGTGCCGTTTGTCACAGAATAACATTGAACCAATTGCAGGTGATCGCAAAGGTAAAGAGATGAAGTAGATAGATGAACAGAAAGATGGACGCACTTGTTCGACTTCTTTGAGACCACCCAACATGAACGAGAAGTGGCGCAGAGTATCGGCTTNGCAATGGTACCTGGAACTTTAGAGCCAGTCTTTGTGCATAAAGAAATGCCCAGTTGTCTGATGGTAAAGAAATAAAAGTGCAAAACATTACGCTTCAAAAACAGCTAGGCGAGGTAACATTTCATACAATTTGGTTATACACCCTACCGCATTATGTATAATGCGAAGGATGCACAAATTAATCAAGAATATCACTAGCTCCATCACCAGCTCCGCCATCCGTCCTGGGGAGGGCATAGCTGTTTGTTATTAAGTGCGTTCCCAGGTAGCGGATAAGAGAACGGACGATAAATCAGGGTCAACTACAAATATGGTGGCCGTAAGCTCACTGAATAAGCAGTCACGAAAGATCAGCGACATTGCTAGATGATATAGTGATGGGCCCTGAAAGAGCTGTCTATCCAAAAGTCACCCGGTGTTGCAAACAAGATTATTGTGTCAAAAATCCACTTCCACGGTACAAATAAATGAATGAGCTTACAAAAGATTACCGGATACGCACGCCTGACGAGCGGCAAGAACCGCGAA